TTACGTATACACATAATGAGAAACAAAAAAATAATAAATATTATTATCATTACATTTTTTTGAAATATTGATGTATTATCGATTTTTTTTGAACTGATATATCAGAATGGTAAGTTACCATGTCTCACTGTCTCAGTTCAATCTTTACACATCAATACTGACGTCTGACATCGAACTGTACCAGCAACGAACAATGAAATATCAGTTATACCATTCGAGGTAGAAACTAAAAATAACCGATAACTTTCCAGGAAACTAGTACCGAAGCGCGTGTGGTATCGTTGTCACGACAACGATTATTAGATGTCATTGTCACCTAATAATGACTATTATTTTTGTATACATTTTGTATATACATGTATATTTTGTCATGATAAATACCTACAATTATTCCAAAAATATATTTCTTTAAAATATTTTATTATTATTTTTATTATCGATGAAAATTATACTATATTTCATTTTCAGGTATTTTTCAGTTAGGTATTTGTAATTTATTGAGACTTTTACTTCAAAATTCTGGGGTGGCAACTGCCACCCCTTGCCACCCCTGAATTACGCCTATGTAGATACCAGATCTAGTACTGGTATAAATTGGCGTAGGTCATTGGTATTTATTAGTTCTTATTTTTCGCAAGTAAACTTATTAGTTGGTAGTCTGTTTCGTTTAGTAACTTTTTTAAAAGCATTTTTTACTTTGGTCTTTTACAAAAAATAAATCCAATGGAAGTTTTTAGCAGGTGCACGTTGACATTTTTGAAAAAAATTGTAAATTTTTCTATTATTTTATAAAATATTTACTGTTTTAATTTTTAAATTGCCGAAGGACTTTACAGTTTAACAACAGAGACTCGTTTTTTAATAAATTTTCATTTTCAAACGGAACAAATAATTAAGACTATTTTTCATTTTAAAATTGAAATATTTTTTTTATTTTTAATAAACATATTGGTCAATGAACTCATGATTATGTCAATTACACCGTGTTCTTCAAAAGTCTTCATCTGATTCCGAACACATATAGTTCGAAAATGATTAATTGCAGCAAGTTAACAACCCACGTACTAATGGAAAAGTAAAATAACAAAATTAGGATAGTGGTGTTTTTGTTTTTCAACAAGATGAAACACCACCACATTGGAAATTAGAAGGTTGCCGGTAATTGAACGGTGAATTCATTCAATGGGCGATTCATCTCTAGTTACCACATTCCCCTAACCTCACAGCATGTGATTTTTTTTATGGAGTTACGGAAAAAGACGAAGTTTATGTACTACCATTATCTACAAAATTGGAAGAGTTCAAAACCAGAATTACAGATGCTGTGAATGTATATAACACCCCACCCACCAAAATAAGCACTTATTTATGTGCCTCGAATTATGTGCCTGTTTACTCGAACTTTCTAACAATAACATCATATTTTATTTACAGTTTTTTCGTCATTATATAAATTATTAACAAAAGCAAATATAACTTTGAATCGTGATGTATACGGTTTTAGGTTTCGAAGGGAAATTGGATGTAACAGTGGTTATATTACCTACGGTATTTGTGAATATTAGAAAAGCATCTAAGATACAGAATGTCATGTCATGTCTTACAGTTCCAATATAAAAATTGTCTTTTATGCTTGGATGAATCTCATCATTCTTAGTAATGATCTTATGATATGTGTATTTATATATACATATAAATGTATGACTAAAGTATGTTGCTCTTAAATGGTGAACATAAAAGGTATGATATCTGATATATTTTATAGCGTATCATATCGTACCCGAGAGTGGCCATATTTCTATCCTATTACATTTCCTAATGTTCATAAATGAAATTGGTCTGCTTTTCGTTTTATATTTTCCTTTCGGGCATGTCTGCTCGTTAAAAGTTTTTGCTGCCATCATAACATCTTGTCACTTATCTCTGTTTCGCACCATTTCTTTCCGATTTTCTACTCTTGTTATCAGATCGTCAACAGCCGATAATATCTGAATATCCATTGCGATTTACATTCTATTTCTGCTTTTTATAAATGTTTGAAATTAAAGTTTTTATGTACACGGTGTTTCAAAAGTCTTCATCCGATTACGAACTGATATAGTTCGGCAACAGTTAATCGCAGGTTAATGACCGATGTATTAATGGAAAGATTATATAACTAAGTTTATTTTAAGTTATTTAGTTGATAAATTTGGCACCGTAATGGTTAGTGAACTAGGAACCGTTAGTTTGTTTCTTTATGACGACTCCACAACAGAAAGCATTTTACGTCCTACGTTTCAATAAGTGCGAGTCGGCATTAACCATTCAACGTGATTTTCGAAGAACTTAGGGAACTGAAGCTCCTACTACTCAAAGGATTCGACGTTGGCACCAAACGTTCCAAGAAAGTGGTTGTCTGTGTGCACAGAAACGCTCAGGTCGACCTCGTTTCTCTAACGGAAACATCGAGCATGTTCGACAGTTTTGTTCGAAGTTCATCCCTGGTCACCACGTTTCCCTGACCTCACATTGTGTGATTTTTTTTTATGGGGCTACATAAGAGATAAAGTGTATGTACCACCATTACCTACAACCTTGGAAGAGCTTAAAATTAGAATCAAAGATGCTGTTCATGCCGCGATATCAGATATGATCAGCAACGTTTGGGAAGAATTTGATTACCGTATAGATGTGTGTCGGGCAGCCGGTGGGGGTCATATTAAACATTTTTTAACCAAAGTAAATAAAACTTGACTATTTTAAGAATATATTTTACTTTATTTTACCCTTATATCTTCATTTTTAATATAAATATAAATTTTTGAAATTGGATGAAGACTTGATACACCGTGTATTAAATAACGAATTTTAAATGAATCATATATGATAATACGTTTTAATCCTACAATTTAAATTCATTCTATTCTTATCTATGGGTTTTCATTTTATAATGTATTTTGTTAATTCATCCGAAAATACATTATAATTTTTAAGTATCCGTATTATTTTAAGATCGTCACAATAGTAAACTGTAATTCATCATGATCACGAATATACAAAGACGTTTATAAGCTTTATAAGTAGGGTGTTAAGTAAAATTATAAGTTAATTAAAAGTATGTTATATATATGGTATACCATTGAAGTTTTACCATGTTGTCGAAGCAATAATATTAAAAATATTGTAAAATAATAATAACTGTCTGATTAAATATAAGAGTATATGAATTATAAATTGATATACCTATGTATTTATTCCAAGGTGTTTCCAAATTAAATACATCTATTTATAAATTGGTCAACATGTTTTTTAACATGGTTCAAACTTATCTTTAATATTAAAACATTTTAGAAATAAAACGTTCTTGCTAATGAAATCTTGTACACCAATAAAATATATTTTCTAAAAACAACGTTAATTAACTAAAAACAGACCATTTTTAGATTCATGAAGTGAATACTTTTATCTGTTTCCTATATCTCTTAATACTTTTGGAATTTTGAAGAATAAAAAATAATAGTTAGTTTGCAATTTGAGAAAATAAAGTAAAGTAACATATTATATTATTTTTATTTTAATTGGATTGTATAAGCAACATAATAGTATGTAACATTTTTATTTCTTATATAATCATTATTATATTCGCTAAAATGTTAATTATATTTGTAATTGTTGAGCTAAATAGCTATACTGATGGCTAAAAAAATTTTTTTTGTAGTTTTTAAGGCTTTTCTAACAAAAAATGTTATCAAATTTTATATATGGTATAAAATTATTGTTATTAAGTGATTGGTAAAGGGGTTACCAAATCTTGACCCCCTCCCCCAGAGTAAAAATAGGTTCAAAAGTCATAAATTACTATATAGGTAGAGAGAAAAAGAACATTAATTTATGTCACGTAATTATAATGTTTGTATAATAATATAATTATTAATTCATATCTTGTATCTATGTATTTTTTAAAATTTTATAAAATCAATTATTTTTTTGAAAAAATTTAAATTCCTCAACAAAATATTTGCTTATAAATTATTTATGCCACTGCATTCATTCGTTAGTTTTGAAATTTCCTTAGATCTATGGGTGTACATTAAATGTCTTCGACACAACGAAGATGTGTGTGTATATGTATGCATGAGGCATATAGGCTATTTTCAGATAATAATAGTGTTATTTTTATCTACATAATACCTACTATATTATAGTATTAAGTTTATATATATATTTATGAACCGTAATAGGTATTTGTAATCTAGATGGTACAATAAACTTTTACGAGAAAATAACAAAAGTTATGTGCAATAAATTATGTACTCTGTGAACCGTAGAATAAAATCTATAATACTCAATGGTGGTTTTCAAATAAATAAGTGAGATATTTTCCAACTTAAATCCTGAAGTTTTCGTTAAAGAATAAGTTTACATTCATACGCATTATTAAAAACACATAATTTCTCGTTTATGTTAAAAAATAAAAATAAAAAATAAAACAATCAAAGTGCAGTATATTGTAGTAATGAATGATTGTTTTAGCTTAAAATTTTAATTTATTTTTTAGTAACATTATAATAAAATATCCATCATTTATGATCTACATTCGTTTCAATCGTTTTATAGGATTTTATTTGATAATTTGACAATCGAATATTTCAAATTTTTGAGTAATAAATAAATACTAGCACTGAACTATGTAGGTATATATCATACGACAAGTTATAGGTATTATAATATATTTGCACGTTTTCATTTAAATAATAATAGAGGTTTTACATACTACATAAGAGTACATATACGACGAAGAGACAAAAACGCTTTTTTTCTTTAGTATTATTTAGATGTTTCACTAATTATTTAATTGTAATATTGTCCTTTCAAACTAATTTAGGCGTATTACAATAATTCTTTAACAGTATTTTACGGCTGGGTTAAGTAATTTTTGGTTTGATTAAAATATAAATAACAATAAATTTTATAATCTAATAATTTATAATCTAAAGGTAATAACAATAATACATTAACATTTATAGTAATATAGTATTTATATAATATAATAATGATTATAATATTTTATTTGAGGATAGAGATTTTGGTTTTGGTCGAATATATATACATATAAATATATATGTATGTGTAGAGTAGTAACTGTCATCATTGCGTACAGCATATATAAGTCGTTTTGCTAGTGATCCCAGCATTTCCATCAAAAATAAATTAAATAAAAAAATTAAATAAATAACAGTTTTAGACGAAATGCGATGACAACAATTATTTTCAATTATTCTTGTAGTTCGAATGGAGGTTATCTATACATTTAAGGAATACTGTGTATGGGCGTTGTATCGTCCAAGCTTGTTGGCGAGTCTTTTTCGTTCGTGTATTTGGTCCTGTTTGTACCGGACTCTTGTAAACGCATTTTTTCCGGGTCGATTGATCGGGCTTCGTCGTTTTCCAACATGAACAGAACACCAAAGTTTAACTGTCTGATGTCGTAGTAAATAGACAGCGTCAACATCACGCATACGAGTCCCACAACCAAATAGCCTGTGAAAACATCCCAATACGATTATATTCTCAACTCCATTGTTCATTTACTATGTTATAATCAGTAGAGTTATAATCAAAGAGATGTTTACAAGATGGGTGTTTTTGGGGGTCACATACCTCCTCGGGCTAAATTATTTTTTTAACTATAAGTATATTGAATATATTTTTTTATCCTAACTTATCAAAATATAAGATTGTCGAATTAATATTTTTATATTCACATATATTTTATAGAACCATGGTCTTTAAGAATTATCTTTGACCATGCTATAAATTATGAAATTAGATTTTTTTTTCAATATCATCAGTTTAAATCATTATTAAAACATGATATCACATGAGCTTTGGATAAAACTGGCTCCTGATTTCGAGTAAATGTTATCTATTCACTATGATATTATTAGCCCTCATCGTCAAATTTCTAATAAATAATTGATGATTTAATTTAAATTGTTTTTAATAAGGAAAGATCTTATGTTATGTTCAACAATATAAAATGAAACAATTGGCGATTTGTATAATTCCACTATTGACGTTTATTCAAGTGTGTAATTATCTCAGTTTCTGATGCAAATTAAACTTTTATATTGTATATCTATGCAGTAAAAGCATAAAATATGTATAAATATCCTATATTCAAGAATATTGAGACACCGTTTAAAAAAATCCTAATTTTTTCATATTATAAAAATTAATGTAGGTATTAGCTTTAAAAATTGATGGCTGAATAAATTTAGAGTTTGCTATAGTTATAAAAATGTTTAGCAGTTGCTATTGTTTTTCATTGTGTGAAACTCAATATATATATATATATATTTATATGAACACGTAAAAGAATCCAAAACAATGACCGTAAAAATCCATTAGTTATATTTTATTTCGTATATAATAATATTTTCATTTTTTTTTTTCATATTTTATATGATCATATGTATTCATTTTCAGTTATTCATTGAATTATTATCTTTGCAGAGGTGCATCTAAGATTTTTTTTGTGTGGGGCTTACAGATAATAATAAATCAATACGTTTTGTGATAAAGTTTGGTTGTGAAAAAAATGTACATGTACATCCCCCGTCCTTGGGTACCCCTCTACATCGCTGTGCATATCTCAAAAGTAAGAATTCACTATACCTCTATATTTTAATCAACTTTGTGCTGGGCGATCGTACTCTTAGAATAACATGATTATAATATTAAATATATATAAATGTATAATTTTATTTTTAATCTCGTTTAACTCGTCATTCGTACAAGCTCTTACCGGTTATTATAAGTTTGTACAACGGTCGGTACTTTTGATCCGGCGCGTCACCCGGGATGTAGTCTCCAAGACCGATAGTGGTGAGTGATATGAAACAATAGTACAACGAGTCCATGTAGTTCCATTCGGGCTCCACGTACGTGAATATGGCAGCGGGCAGCAACAGAAAGAGAAAAATCAACGTGCCCAGAATGGTGCCGAAGTGTAACAGTCGGATGGTGAACGGCGGGTACAGGTGTCCCAGACGACTGTTAAGGAAGTGCAGGTACTTGGTCGTGGGTATCATCAGCCGGTCGACCAGCGCGGTCAATAGCACCAGCGTGAGGGGTATGCCGAAAAGAGCGTATAGCATGCAGAACAACTTGCCTTCTTGAGACAACGGAGTAACGTGGCCATAACCTGGAGGGAAAAATATTACAATAATGTAAGCGTAAGAAATTAAAAAAACCGGGAGGACACAGGTGAGACACAGGTCAGGGACTATGGATGAATTGCTATATTGTTGTATTGATCTCTAAAGCTTTAACCTATTGTTCTCGAAAAAACGATTCCGAGTGAAAGTGGTCGGGTGGATCAGTTTATGTTTCAAAATATGGTTGATATAGGTAGTCTATTAGAACCAGATTTCATTTTGGTGATTTATCGATTCGGCGATTCGACGAATGGTCGCGTATACAGATGTATTAAAATAAATCTTGAACCTTCGATTATTATAGATTATTACAATATTAATTTCATTAATTATCATTTATATTAATTATCATTTGCTTGAAATTTTAATTAATTTTTTATTTCAAAATGTTGTATAAAATAGACAAATAGACTAGGTAATAAAGGTAGAGATATTTTTTTATACGATGGTTTCATATATATTATGGATAAAGTTAGTATTGACGGATTTTGGCGATGCCGACGTAAATATAAGTATTCAGTTTGTTTACACACAGTTATTGATGATTTCTAGATAAAATTTTAAATTATAATATCATGTCGCCGTAATGGTAGATCACCAAAACAGCTTTGTTGAAATGGCATCGTTGAAATGTCCTAGACCCCGTGAAACTTATTACTGAATCAAACCCTTAAAATCATCATGTGTATAATAACAGAAAAATATATTTTATTAATATTATACATTTAGGTGAAATTTATCTTCTTATTTAAATAATTAGTGATCGCGAATCAATCGAGTAAATAAAGCTTCGAAAATCGTTCTTGAGGAAAAACAAATTTTGAACAACGCAAATAACGCAATGCATTATTGCGTGTTAGAAATGTTCAAGGGATTTATATCTCTTTGACACATCGCTGTTATATTATTATAGGTACTTACCAATGGTTGTGATCACGGTACAAGCGAAAAACAAGGATTGTCCAAAACTCCAATTGGGTTCTCCGGACACATTTTTAGCTGCTGAAACACCTCTGTTACTGGCAGCTAAAACTTCTTTTATAAAATTCTCCATTGAATCATCTGAAAAGCAAGAACATTTTATTAAATACATCTATTTTAATACCTATATAACACCTATATTTATATTATGTAATATATAGAGCTTTATGTGCGAATGTGACATGCAGTGTTTGCATTTTCTTCGAATATTAAGAAAAATTCGTTTGTAAAGATTAGAGAAATTACATTAACAATTATTGAAAAAAATGTTCTTGTACATACATATTTCATATGATTACTATTAGTGTGAATATGATATAAATTATAATAATATAGTGTACGAAATCAATTTTATTTTTATTGTTTTATTACAGTTTACAACTATCGACTAGATTGTATTAAAAATGGCTCTTTAGCTTTCCACCCAGTTATTAGCTAGGGTCTGGCAACACTTTCTTTCGATTGTGAAATATTTAAATATAATAGACATTTTTTCAATTTTTATAGATTTAATTTTAATTATCTAACTAACTATTTAATTTTGACTATTTTATAGTTAAGTATAATTTTAAAGCTGATAATACTCGGAAAATTAAGAGTTTTAAATATAAAATATTTTTTTAATCCTAGGACTAGGATTGATTAAATTATAAATTATTTATATTTAAATTTTCCTCTGTATTAGTGTCTATATGGGTCAGATATGTTTGCTGGACACCTCATTTGCCCGACACCATACATATTTTTACTGTGCGTATTATTAATATACAATTTTTTATTATTATTATAGTTACTATAATCATTGATTATATTTTTTTTTATTTTATTATTATTGATCCTATTTTAAATGAGTTTAATCTTAAAACAAAATGTAATACGCTGGTATATCTATTTACTGTAATGTAAGCGATTAATTTACATGTTTAGTATACATATAACGACGATATTATATTGATTTATTACTATCAATTTTGTTTTATTAATATAATTGTAATTTTAGAATGTTATACTTTTTTTAATTTATCAATTTTACTATCGATTAATCAAATATAGCCATGGAAATTTTAATTAATATTGTATATGGATTTGTAACACTGTAAAAGAAAAATGGCTCATGATGTTCCCCTGACAGCCCAGCGGAGCATGGTTTCAGATTGACTTTAGTAGTCTTAATCCAAGTGAGCTCATTTTAAAAATTTGTTTTAAAATAATTCAAGTTTAAAGGTCTTATTATATGATTATCTAAATATTTTATACTTATAAGATCACTTAAATCTTTATATGATATGCTGGTTCAATAGATTTTTTAGCATGGATCAGTTATTTGGTATCCATTAAAGATTTTTACTTCATTTACCAATTTGAATGCGCACAACGTATATTTTTAAGGCGTAAGAAATTTTTAATAAGCCACAAAATTTGTTTATCGTCGTTAGAGTATAGCTAGATTTGCAAACTCTCGTTTAATATAGTCACGTAATTCATATGAAGTTTGTTTCTGATATTTTACAGTAGCGAGTTGATTCTCGCCATTGTTCTATTTTAAAATGTTTTCAGGCTCTACAGGCACTTTCTATATGTTTCATGTAGATTCATCATAAATTAATAAAAGAAATTAGCCAGTTAAGCATTTAATGTCTCATGCCAACTGCATGGATTTTTTCTTATGGATATGTATTCGTAGTACTATTAAACTCTTATTGTATTTTGTACATAAATATTGTTGTCAAATATTATTACTTAAATTGAATAATTATTCAGTATTATTTTCAAAGACTCTTTGCATATTATGTGAACAGGGCCAGTCCCGTATAATAATGAATAAATAAATAGTTGATGTGGGTTTCGCTGTATATTATAGTATATAACTTAAAAATAAATGATTTAAAAGTAATTTTATGTGTTTTGTAATTTTCACATTAGAACAAGCCGAGCGCGTGTCATAAATAAAAGAGATATTTTTGTTTATTGAAAAACAAGATAAACACAACTTTAAATAATTTGAATAATGAGTTTTTTCAAAAGTAAAATTAATCAATATATCAAAGAAAATATTATTTTTATTACTTAAGAATACTGAACAACAAAAGTATCAAATAAAAAGAGTGAAATATATATTTAATAAATGTTCTTAGAGGTTATAATAATTCTAAATAAATTATAAATTCCAATTAATTAAAATTTTTTTATTTTAATCAGGTTTTAAAATATATTCAATTTTTTTTCCTATACACTATGAATAGCAAAACGTGCTATTAAAAATATTATAATATACAGTAAAAAATAAAAACCCATTTCTCAATGTTTTCAATTATTGGATATATTATGTTATAAAATAGATTAATGCTAATCATATGATTGTATATAGATGTTTGTATATAGATGTTTGTCATCCTTCATGAAAGCTATTCAAATTATTATTGCTTTTAGTTTCACACATAAATTGGTTTCATTTTCTGAATGTCTCAGAAAATTTTTTTTCTGTGAAAATCGTAATATTTTGAAATGTATTTGTAATTATTTAAGGAAAATTACAATGCGCACCATATAAACAATAAAGCAAAATACTCATATCGTAATGGAAAATAATAATTTAAACAATTCTTAGTAAATATTACGTGTTTGTAATGTTTTCTTGTAAGAAATTGATTATTTTCCACCAGAAGTTTAAGATACCGAGAGTCTAAATTGAAATCAAGTGTTATAAATTATTAAAATCATTTTTATGATTCACACTAATTGATTCACAAATAAAATATACATATCGGTTTGTTTTGGTTGAATTTATTGCTAAGCAACCAATAAAATTAATAATTATATACATTTTGATACGTTAATATTATGTATATTTGATTTAATTACGAAGTTCTTGCTAAATATTGACAATGGTGTTTTCAAAGTCAAGTTTGGTTCGTATGTATTGGTAAGTATTATATATCAGTCACTTATATTTAAGCCTCGGACCTGATGAAAGGTCAAAGTTTAAAATGAATGTACCTACACATTATACTGCCACAAAGAAAGTGATTCTAGGTATGCGCGTTTATAGTTTGTAGTACTTTTATTGCGATTTATTGATTTAGAGAAACTTGAATTTAATTTATTTCTCATAAATAGATGTCATTGGGTAGGTAGTAGATAAGTACACAATGTGATTAAACTCGATATCAAACAATTTCCTAGACCGATTTTGCTGAATTTCATTTTACAATTTCTGGTAGTGTAAAATCACGACTCTTACTTAAATTAACAAAATAAACGCATAGAGATTCGAGTATGATTTCGTGATACTTTTTGTACAGTGTGAGACTGCTATCCGTTCACAAAGATTTTTCTGAAATGTATTATATATTAAATTGATGATATCGCTAAAAAAATAATTCGTTTCAATCGGACAGTGGTACTTGACTTTCGAGTTCAGTGATTACATATATAACTAGGAAAAGTGGTGGGTATTGAGGTTCGATCAGATAATCTGGCGGAAAAATTTCAGATCGAGGCACTGTTTTGAAAGACAGTTATTTCCACAAAAAGGTAAATAATTGTCAAAAATAATAAATACTTGTTCTGTATATATATTTCTTAGGATAAAATTGTATTTATAAAAGAGTTGAAAGAAAATTTAAATAAAAAAAAGAGGAAAGAGAAATTAAAAAAAAAAAAAAAACGAAAATTAGATGAAGATAACCACTAAACTTGTGGAAAAAAAAATTTAATTAAAAAACATTGTTATAATGTTTGTTATCTTTATGGATTCGATGGAATTTTAGTTGAATAAATTATCTATCTATATATATAAAAATCGATGTACATTTTGAATAAATTTTATAGCTCACGATCCACCGAACCGATTTCGATAAAAATTTTAGGGCATATTAAGATTGATATGTAGATGGTTTGTGTGAAGTTTGTACGCTATGCGATATGTGGTTCCGGAGTTATGGCCTCTTAAGTGTAAAACATTAATCACGCACGCACGCATGATATTCAAAAATTATTGTTTTGCCATGGAGATATATATACACTCTATGTGGTTATTTTTTATTATTTGTTTCCGTGGCACGCGCGTCTATGGTAATATTTATTGGTTTGAGATTAAATGAGATTGATTTTTATTCAATTTGAATTGTATGGATTTAGGCGTTAAAAAATGCCTCAACCAAGACGACAAAATATTGGCCGACGATCACGTAATTATGTCGCCCAATAATCTCATAGAAGATCTCAAAGTGAAGAGGCACATTTACAAAGAAATGTTGTTCAATATTTACAAAATGAACATCGAACTACATCTGCAGGTCCGTCAGTAAATCCAGCATCAAGACGAACGTCACGAATTTCGCGTCGTGCACAAGCCATGGAATTTGCTACATTTCATTACAGCAGTGAAATGGATTACAGTGAACATGGTCTTATCGGTGGAATGACGGTGAGATGTATACATGTGCTGCAGCCAAATTTCCAGGTAAAACGGCAGGCATGTGTTGTACTAATGGCAAAGTGAAATTGCCAGCATTCGAATCTCCACCTGATCCACTGCACTCATTGATTTTTGGAACATCACCAACGTCCAAGCATTTTTTGTCCCACATTCAAAAATATAATACGCCATGTCAAATGACTTCTTTTGGTGCGACAAAAGTTATAAGAGACAGTTTTATGCCGACGTTCAAGGTAATTATTTCATACGGAATATCTTTCGAAAAATGCAACCTGACCAGCAATTGTTTTGATATTTTCACGAATTCTCTGATCCAATATCAAATTGTATTTCACACATGTTACAGATTCAAGGCCAGATTTATCATGGAGCTGGTTCATTATTGCCATTCCCTGACACTGAACCTCAATTTTTGCAAATCTATTTTGTTGGGAATAGCAATGATGAATTGAATCGGCGTTGTGCAATTGCTCCAAGTGCAAGGCGTCAAATTATTTTGGACCTGCAAATTTTTTTTCCATCAACACAATGAATTAGTTCAATTGTTCAAAACCGCTCTTGGTCTTATGCCATCCGTTAATCATAGGATAGTAATAAGAGCCGACAAAACGCCTTTTGGAGAGCATGCAAGACTCTTCAA